ACCATTTCTCTTTTATAGTGGAAAAACTGAGGCAGAGTTCTTATTTTGGATCTCAACTTAATCTGAAGTAAAAATGTGAATCTCTTTGCCATAATAAGCTACATATTTAGAACACAATTGCACAGAAAAATAAAGTGAGGGAAACAAATTCATTTCTAGTTCTTACATCACGCTCTTCGGAAATCCTGGAGTTATTCACTGAGCATATTAAAAGGTCATAGGAAAAATGCATGTTTTAATGCACTGTTTGAAAAATAATACATGATCAGGTCATTAAAGACTGGATCTTACTAGGTAACAATGAGGACAGTTACATTAATGCATGAAATCTCAACTTGTCATTACCCAGACCTTTGAGAGCTTAGCTGTACATTCTTTAAATTCTCTTAATATAATGTAATTGAATTTCCTTTAACTGATTAAGGAAAAGATTATCATTTGAAACTACTTCGCCACACCATAGAATAATCTATACCACAGAGAGAGCACCGAATGTGAAAAGACAGTAGGAGTCAACAATCAGCTTTCTTCTTGATGATCCAGCATGCTTGACTCCAGCCAACAAAATTAAAATAAGAAAAGTCCTACCATGACTACAGCACAATAACTTTTCAAAAAGCGTCAGCCATTTCACTTTCAAATCTAGGAAAAGTCCTAAAGAGCCTAGGAACATGTAGTCTACCATATCAGATTGAACAGATGGTACATCTAGTACAAAGGAAGTCACACAGTGCATACTCTGTCTATAATAAAAATTTGTTAAAAACTTGCAGTCAGTGAAGAGCCCAGATCAAAATCTAAAGTACAAGGATCTTTTATTTCTCTCTCCAGTGAAGTGAGGAAGAGGAATCTTGTGTCTGCTAGTCAAAAGGCTAAGGAAGGAGGCAGTAGGTTAATCACAGTTATTTTATCTTCTGGGGAAAAGTTTTAGATTCCTATGCCAATCCTTGAGAAACATCCAGCTCTTATCACATGCAAGCCTTACCTTTAAGCTCAGCAATTCCCTTATTTTAGTGCAACTCATAAGCAATGGCAGTTCTTGATCACAAACAGTGATGTGATCTTTTGAAAATCTGACCCAGACCCTGATGCCAATTTGAAAGTTAAGATGAAACTATTCTCTCCTATTCTATCCAAAGTTGATCAATGAAAGCAAAATACTTGTGGGGAGCTCCCAGTTGCATAATATCAATTATATTTCATACACTTACCTACCAAATGTGTCTGATGTTGTTACTCCCCATGAGATTAAATTAAATCCAATCCTACTTGGATGAACATGTTTTAGCCAATGCTACATTCCAGCTACTGTGCACTTTCTCTTGTTCTTTAATATTTGTCTAATCCAAAGAGTCACAAATATAACATAGCCAATATTTCAGTTTATGAAATCACACTACCATTTAATAGTGCTTAATTAACATTTTATTATTACTCTTCAACCTGTGCATGTCTTAACCTGTTATAGACAGCTCAGTGAAGACCAGAGTTTAGTGTGAAGCTGTCAAAGTAAATAAAGATATTAGGATTAGGATATCAGGAATAAGATAGAGAATATGGAATGTGTTAGATCATTATATATCAGTAAATCAAAAGTATAAATATAGTGAGTGGTTTAGAGAAAGGTATGTTCTGTTCTCCCCGTCTCATTACAGGGGAATAAGGAAACATTTAAAAGAGATTAAAAGGTAGCATATGTAATTATTAACCAAAGAAAATTACTTTTTATAGAAATGCCTATGGAACTCATTACCACACAACGTGTCACAGAAATCAAGTAACCAATAACATTTAAAGGAGGATTGGTGACTCATATGAAAGGGGTAAGCTCATCTCCAACTACCTGAAATCAATAGGTTTCTTTCATTTTCACCCAAAACGACTTGTATGGAATAGTCGGAAACATAGTGGACCAGTATGTTTCTACAATCAGGTTAAACACCTACAACCAAGTTACTCACCACCTGGATAAGGGAGATGAGGTTGACAACATTTATTTGGACTTTAGGAAGGCCTTTGACTTGGTGTCCCATGAGACTCTCAAGGTAAAATGAGGGTAAAACAACTGAACAGTCAGATGGATGCGAAACTGGCTGTAGGGTTGGATCCAGAGAGTACTAATAGACAGATCTGTGTCGACCTGGTGGAAGGTAGGCAGTGGGGTCCCCAAGGATCAGTACTTGGACCAGTGCTTTTCAACATCTTCAATGGTCTAGCTGTGGGGGTGAAAAGCACACTGGCAAAGTTTACCAATGATGCTAAGCTGTGGGGAAGTGCAGCCACGCATCAGGGTAGGCGGACGATCCAGGCAGACTCAGACAGATTAGTTTGATGGGCAGACCAGAACCAGATGCTGTTCATCACTGAGAAGTGTAAAGTGCTCCATCTGGGGAGGAAAAATCAGCAATGAACTTACACGCTTGGTTGTGCTATGCTAGGTAGCATCACATCTGAAAGGGACCTGGGGGTCATAATTGTCAAAATGAATATGAGCCACTAGTGTGATGGTACAGTTAGCAGAGCACACAATACACTGGCATGCATCAACCGACACATCTCAGGCAAAACTAAGGAAGTTATTCTCCTGCTCTACTCAGTATTGGTGAGGTCGCAGCTGGAGTACTGTGTCCAGTTCTGGGCACCACACTTCAAGAAGGATGTGGAGAAGCTTGAGAGAGCCCAGAGTAGAGCCACTTGTATGATTAGAGGCCTGAAGAGCAAGCCATATGAGGAAAGGCTGACAGATATGGGACTGTTCAGCCTAGAAAAGAGAAGACTTCAGGGGGATTTGGTGGCAGTTTACAGATATATCAGTGGAGAGTATCAGGGGCTAGGCAAACAACTATACACCAAAGCGTCTCAGGGGAAAACCAGGAGCAACAGTCAAACCTTAGAAGAAGGTTTCAGACTGGAAACAAGGAAAAACTTCTTCATGGTTTGTGAGACCAGACTCTGGAATAGACTCCCAGCGGGGGTGGTGCAAGCACCTACTCTGGAGATGTTCAAAAGGAGACTGGATGCACACCTTGCTGGGATTATTTGACTGCAGCAGTTTTTCCTGCCCAGAGAAGGGGATGCTGAACCTGATGATCTCACACAGTCCTTTCTAGCCCTAAACTTCTGTGAATCTGTGGATGGAGATGGAAATAGGTCTGATTCAATACGCCTATCACTACGTTCCTAAAATTAAGCAGATTCAGAATCAGAGATTCATCATACCCCTTAATTCTCATAATTCTTATGAACTACAGTTTGTGTTACATCTCTGTGAAAGCAAGCTATAAGAAAGGGTAAGAAGTAGAAAACCACAACTGTTCTCCTAATTTTTAGTGTTTATTTTATACATTTGCTGGCAAAGTCTAAAGACTATTTTAACTTTTTCTCTTGTACTGTAAATTTTCCTCTTGGTCTTGTCTGCTGCATTTCTTCCTCAAAATAAGGATGAAAAAAGGCATCAAAACACAGCAAATAATTTTTAAAACCTCAAAAACTGACATACACGCTACCCAGAATTACTTGCATCTCACTCTTTGAAACTTATTTACAAGTTCACTACATCTTTTAATTAAATAGCACAAGTATTGCCCCTCATATAAGTATATTATCATGCTTTGTTAGAACTGTATATAAGAACATATTCCCCACATTCCCCCATTTAGATGTATGCAGAATTAGATTTATTTGGAGACAAAGACCTCACATCAGGGAAAATATTATAAATCACAATAAAACTTTCCTCCACATCCTTAACTTACTCAAACTGTTTGGCTTTTTGGCTTAATTTGTAGAAAATATTATTGGAAAAAAATAGAAAAAATCATAAAATGATGCATGTGACAAACCTTCTACAAATGCCACTAATACCATTAGCAGTGTTCTTTACTGATGGTAAGGTTCAATAAAGAAACCTTGGCATCAAGTTTCGATTCGTACTTTATTCCTGCCAATGGTCTGCTACAATATTGTTCTCTCAATATGTATGACCTTTTACTACTTTGTGAGAAATTTCTATTCTATTCTATTTTGGTATCCTCATCCTTGAGCACTTTCCAGAAGTTCATCAAGTGATTTGATTAATGGTGTATCCTTTGTGGTTCCCTTTGCCCAACAGAAAAATGTGTGAAGATATTTCTCTTTTTCAATTATTTTATGCCTTTATATATCATTATATTTCTCTCAAAATTATACCATATACAATCAACAGTTATTAGCCACAACAAACCTCCAAAAGTTAAAGCTGACACCTGGAGGAGAAAATGCCAATCTCTTGTTATGAAATAAATATATGGAAACAAAGTGACAATCTCAATTGGTAAGATGCCAAAAGATGTGTACAATAAAATTATACACGACTCAATTAATGAGAGTATAATTAGAAATCAAAATATTAGGTAATTCTCCAGAAAACATGGATGATGGTAATAGCCTGGATAATATTGGTTTGACACTACGTAATTAGCAGTATTAGGTTTCTTTTACTGTACTTACTTATTTTCTCTCCAGATTCTGTATGTAAAGCAGTTCAACATAAATACATTTTCCTGTACAAAAAACCCAACTTCACAGGCACTGAATATTTGATCATTTATTATTTTGAAGTTTGATCATCTGGTTTTAGAATCTCCATATGAATTATATAAAAGTGATATTAGCACAGAAACAAGTAGACAAGCTCACACACACTTGTGTGTATATAAATATCTTCTAATAACCGCCCAAAAGAGCTGCTATGTCACTTTCCTTTCCATTCTACTATTCCCTTGCAAAAAGCCTCCTCCCACCATGATCAACTCATTCTAAAATATTTTCAATATTTAAAAATAACTTATTTCAAAATACCTTCCAACTTTTAAGAAACAGATTGAGAGTACTTGATAGCTTCTAATACCTCTTTCCTAAATTATTTCTAATACCTCTTCCTTAAGTCTTGGCAGACCACAGTAATATTACAATTCTAATATATTATCAAAGATAATATTGAAAGATGCACAAATACTTACAGTAATACCATCCAAGAGTTTAGCCATATGTTTGATAATTTCACTATGGTGTGCTGGTTGTGTTTGTAGAAGCTTCTTGATAACAACAACACTTTCAGCAACCACTATTTCTGATAAAGACAAAACCAAGTTATGCTTTTCAAAGGAATGTATGTATACAAAACTTATCATCATATACAAATTGTAAGCAATAGCTTTTAAAAATTTTAAATGATTTAATACATTTTCCAAATATACTCTGTGGAACAACATCTATTATGAACAACATAAAAGGGTAGATTGTTTTATAAATCTAAAGACAATCTGCTTTTGGGAGAAGGTTTGAGACAAAAAGAAGTGGGAGGATTTAGGAAAAGATAACACAAGCAGCTAATAAATGTATCTCTTTATAATACTTTTTAATTTAGTTTTAATGCATCTGCACTTCATTTTTAATTTTTTGTGGGAAAAACATCTATTCTGCATTATTAAATTGCAGTATGTACATTCATAAATACTGCACAAAGGTTGGCACAAAATGTAAATATATATATATATATATATATATATATATATACAGTTTAATGGACTTCCAAAAATGTATAGGCTGCTCAGAAAATTGCTAGCTAATTCTACAAATAAAAAATAGCTAAACATTTCCTCTGCACTGTTTCACCCTCTAAAGATCCTCTCCCAGGTCTGTAGCATGATCTGTAGCACATTCAAATGAGGTTCCTAAATAGGCAAGCTGTTCAAAGATTTATGTCCAAGTCATGCATTGGAGTGCTTAACTACTGTAACAAGTAACATTCGCAGCCTGATCAACTTGTATGAAATGTACAATTTTTGAAGCTGAAAAAAACCCACTGGTGCAGAGGTGGGCTTCTATGCAAGAGTAAATTCATGCTATAGGGAAAGATGAAGTAAAGTCAAACATGGCCAAGGTTGAAGCCAAAGCAAAAAAAAAAAAGACTAATACAACAGAAGTTCAATTTAATTATATTTTTCATCTCAACAAAAAACAAAACAAAAAGCATTTCCCCTCACCCTCCAGACACTAACAACCATGGACATTGTTTCAAACAGATGAATAAAGCATCCTTGCATTTGAATGGTTAATCTGAAACATGGACCTTCTACTTAATGAATTAAGTTATCAAAAAGAACAGAACAGATTTCTGAAACAGGAATATTAGGGTATAGAGTACAGTGCAGGTCAATTTGGAAAGTATTCTGCCCCCCTTTTATACTGCCAAAGGTTAAAAAAAACGGGAGCAAAATAAATCATCCTGGTAAGGATGATGGCAAAGTTAGGTGACCACCGCAATAAAAAAAAGCAGCAGTTGGTGTGTCTGCATAGTACAAAATCTGGAGCGTGACAAAAAGCTTCCATGTAACATCTATCCAGGGGTCTCAATATCTGCACCCCTGCCACACTTCCCTTAATCAGCTGTGGAATAAGTAAAGGTCTTCAGGCAAGATTCTTATTCACTGAAAAGTTCTAATTTTTTACCATCCTGTAACAACATAACATTGTTCTTATATTATAAAATTAAGTGTCCTAACTAATTCAGAACACCAAAAACTCAAAAGAAATAGTATTAAGAAATAATCAATTATGCAGGATGCTTTACTAGAAAGATTGTATTAGAATGAACAAACAAAATATTACAGTTAAATGCTCACACAAGAAAGTAAAATGTGTTTAAAAGCAGGAGCCTAACAACTGAGCAAGATAATAAAACATACTTAAAAGTTACATTTCCAGGAGTTACAGAAAAGAACATGATTAAAATACAATTCAAGACATGTAGAAAAATATATAAATTATTGCCATAGGAACCATTTTTCTGAAATCTGCAGGAGGAAAGAAACGCATGGAATAAGAACATATCTAAAGAGCTAAACTGGAACTGTAAGACAGATGAATTGGCATGATTCCTATTTACATGAACCTAGATACCAATAAAAATGTCCCATGTAAAGTATTAACAAAACCAGGAAAATTAAATATTAGACTAAAACCTGAAATAATCCAAGTGAATAAACAAGTGTACTAAGAAGCTGGTTTTCTGCACACTGAGGACTCCACAAACAAGGAAGAAATATTTAAAAAATAGTAGAATGTAGCCACAAAAACAGTTATGTAGTTTTCATACTACATAAGTAAAATCAAGAAAGAAGGCTGAAAGAGATAACTTCAGTCAAGTCAACAGAATTTGTGATAAACATTAATAAAATCTTAACAGGTATATCTGTGCCAAGAAACAAGTAACAAGAAAATTGATACATTTACCTACTCATCTATTAGTGAAGACTTAAATGTGACATTTTCACTATTGTAAAAAAAAAAAAAAAAAGCGGAGGAGGGGGAAAGCACCTTTCACTGGTACAATGCACTCAAATGGGGGGGGAGGGGAAATGGAGAATCAAAGACATGTCTGTAGAATCAGAGACATGTCTGTCCATGGTTTAATCTCAGGGTAATTCCTCTGCTCAATGTTAATGATCACCCAATCTATGCCACCTAGTGGTAAGGCACAATAATAGCAGGGAACAGTATTCAGCTAGTCTGAAACAGCTGCTTGTCTGTCTGCTTCAGGACACACCAGTGTCTAAAACTTATGTAAATTGCACTGGTGTAAATATTCCTGTGTCCAGATCCAGATTAAACAAAAAGCAAAAAAGCTGAAGTTTAGATACAGACTGAGGAAAGTGGGCATAAACAATTTAAAATAATACACTACTATTCCAAATGAAAATCTGTACCAGAGGTGAAGTGAGAAAGCTTGATAGACAGCCAATAATAAAGGAGAGCTTTAATTCCGATATAACTGACAATGGCTTCTGAACAAAGAAATTCATCAAGGTGGCTTAGAAATTTAGGGAAAATATAAAGTAATCTGACCAGGAATCTCTAGATAGAGATAAAAAATAAAAATGAAAGTTAGGAACTGAAATACTACTGACAACAGAAAGATCTCAGTTCAGAAAAATTTGACAAAATTTCTAAACTATGTGAAGGAACTGCTTAAAATCATGACAGACTATTCCTACAGATGCTAATAAATTTCCAATGGATCAAAACCAGTTTGATCACTGATTCATTGACACAGAATTCCACCCTACTAAAACAAGGTGGGTATGTCTGAAAACAAAAATCATAATTTTTAAGAGACAAGTTGAAATAATTTGTACTGCATCATTCAGAAACTCTCTCATGTTCTATCATAGCTGTTCTGTTTTTTCTTAGTTGTTGCTGTTTTGTTTTTTAAATAAACATAACTTGTACAAACTTTAGGCAACCTGAAAATAGAATCAGCAGCTAAGTCACCTAAGAAAGTAAACAGACAGAAGCACAAAGAGCAAAGAGAAAATTATTCTAAGCACTGCCATAGCTTCCACACACTACAGCAGGGAAGGGAAGTGCTGTTGGATTTTATAGCTTCATTTTACTTTCACTTATAAAAATGCTTTCATAGAATGAAACTTGACAAAGTGCAGGATGAGCCAGGTCACTTATCAAAACTTCGGCCAACTCAGACACTTCACATGCCCCAAGAAAACTCCTCAAATTCATAGAGCTCTGTTTTTCAAATGAAGGCTAATATGTACAGAGATGAGCTTAAGGATGAAGTTCTCTGTTGTCTCTCATACTAAACACATGAGAAATCAACCGCTACGAAGAGAGTCAGAGACATGCTACTGCCACAGGAAAGATACAGAACGAAGGACAATAAAAAACCAGCATTTAAAACATGCTTAGCAAAAGCACTGGCAGCCTGCAAAACAACTGTTTGTTTGGGAGGGTCCAAATTTAGGAGTGACTGCATGAGAGAGATTCTAAGCTTTCAAAAACTGAAATATGAGAAGATGTTCTCCCTTTCTATGAAATCCATAATAAGCAGGCCAATTCAATTAGTGCATCACTTAGCACTTGTAGGAATTTAGAAGACAGAGTTAAATTGAAATGACCAAGAAAACTTTAGTAGAAAGTAGCCAAGGCCAGTGAAAAAAAATTCTACCCTAAAAGGAAGATGTGTGTTAAAAGAAACATATGTTAACCAGTATGTCACAACATGGGAAAGAAAACGTATCTTCTATCACCTGGGTCTCTCAACCACAAGTTGAGGGAAGGACAGCAAATAATTATAGCTAATTATAACTAATATTCAGAAACTATGCCATATGATTTCAGTCCGTAGGATAATAGCCTCATTTGCCTTTACATATAAAGTATATATAAAAATGTGACCCACTGCTTAAGATTTTTGAATGAAAACACCTAAAATAGAAATGACCAATATTTTTTTCAAACCAAGTTTTCTAAAGTTAAGCTTCTGAAAATATGAAGTTGCCTAATTTTCAGAAGTGCATAGAACTAACAAAACCCACTGAAACTGATAACAGTAATATAGAAATCATAACTGGAATACACATATTAAAATGTACATACTGTTCTGGAAAAACAGAAATAAAAAGTAAAGGTGGTGAAGTAGTATTCCACAGTGATGATGCGATGGACTGAACAGAAATAAGAGTCATCACAGATGAAGCAGAAACTGTTCAGGTTAAAAGTCACTTTGAGAGAGGGACAACAAAAATAGTGATACTGATTGGAGAAAAAATGTTACTAAGAATGCTAGGTCTGAATGCTATCCTGACTGATAGTTGACAGATATTTTTTTTTTTACACTATCACTGAAGAAACAAGAAGCAATGCCATTTTAGACTTGCTTTTGATAAGTAGTGAGGACATTATAACTTAAAAAAAAAACTTTGATCTACTGATTATGAGGGTAAACCCTGATAAATTAAAGAAACTAGTTAGAGTGCACTTAAGAACAAATGAATTTAAAGAAATTCCTCTTCCATATTCAAGTCAAAGATCCGGTACCTGTCTAGAATTTGCAACATAACCAACAGGGATGCTTGCAAGGACGGGCTTCAAACCGGATTGAGGGAAGGAGAAAAACCCACCTCAATAAGGATACTTCAGAAGTAAGCAAAGCCTATAAGGAATGGACAAAACTGCATATTGGAGGTCCGAAAGTGGAGAAATAAACTGCAAATTGTCAAAATCTAGCTGTGGTATACCTTGCAAAGAAAACTAAAAACACACTCAAATGGT